CAGAGCCAGGAGGAACCCCTGAGCATCGCCGGGTGTGACAGTGGCCAGAGAGATAGTACAGTGGGTAGGACTCTTGCCTTGTATGCGGCTGGACCGGGGTTCGATCCCCGGCATCCCATGTGGTCCCCTGTGTACCACCAGGAGTGATTCCTGAGTGCAGAGCTAGGAGTAACACCCCTGAGTATTGCCGGGTGTGGCCCAAAGCCCCCCTCCAAAAAAAATTACATAAATAAAATTCAGTGTTGGGCAGGAGAGATAGTACAACGGGTCAAGGCATTTTTCCCGGGGCTGGAGCAATAGCACAGCGGGTAGGGCGTTTGCCTTGCACGCAGCCAACCCGGGTTCGATTCCCAGCATCCCATAGGGTCCCCTGAGTACCGCCAGGGGTGATTCCTGAGCGCAGAGCCAGGAGGAACCCCCTGTGCATCGCTGGGTGTGACCCAAAAAGGAAAAAAAAGGCATTTTTCTCTTGCAGGTAGCAAGGATCAACTTGGGTTTGATCCCCAGCGTCCCATAGGGTCCCCCGAGGACTGCCAGGAGTAATCCCTGAGCACAGAGCTAGGAGTCAGCCCTGAGCACCGCTGAGTGGGGGCCCCCAAACAAGGTGCTGGCCACACAGTTGATTCTAACCAAAGGCAGCGCCCACGTCTGCTAAGAACAGATCCTGGGGCCCAGCTGACCGCTCCTCGGTCTCCATGCGCCATCAGCAGCCGTGGCCAGAAATCTGACCCCCCTCTATTCCGGGAAATAAACTTTTATTGGGACACAGTGACACACGCTTGTTTATAAATAGTCCGTGAACCCACACACAGCATCCCAGCTGCTTCAACAGTTAAACCCCGTGTATTCCCCTCCCCGGCCCCTTCACCCCAAGTTTTTTTCTCAGCTCGGATCAAAGTAGCACAAACACGAGAGTTCCTGGAGGGAAATCTCCTTCCTGCCTAAGTCTTGATTCAGGCGTGGAGGGAGAAGCTGTGATTCTGCATGCACCGGGGATGAGGGTTGGGGGGTGTGGTGGGGGGTGGTGATCTCGCTGGTGGGTGGACCACACTTCCGGAATCCAGGGTGCAGGGAAAGCGGGGTTCACTCAGGGGAGGTCTGGAGATTCTTGGCACCGGACAGAAATCTTAGCGTCTTGGGTTCATTCTCTCTGGGCTCCAGGTAGCACCCAGGAGGCGGAAAGGTTCACGTCCTGCTCATTGCACTCCCCTGGCAGGACCAGAACAGGAGCTCGGAGGGCGTCTCCGGCATTCACGGCCACCGGAACGGGGAGACAAAGAAACAAACTAGTTGCAGGATCTCCTAGAATTCAGTCCATTCCGAGTCCTCTGCTCAAGCACCGCCAGGAGATCCCAGAGCACAGAGTCAGGAGCACCGCCGGATGTGGTCCCCCAAACAAACAAACAAACAAAAACAATTCTTGGCGGGGTCAGAGCAATCGTACAGCAAGAAGGGTGTTTGCCTTGCATGAGGTTGGTCGGGGTTTGATCCCTGACATCCCATTGGATCTGCATCCAATGCCAGGAGTAATTCTTTTTTTTTTTTCTTTGTTGGGGCCACACCCAGCGATGCTAGGGGTTACTCCTGGTTCTGCACTCAGGAATCACTTCTGGCGGTTGCTTGGGGGATGCTATGGGATGCCGGGGATTGAACCCGGGTCGGCCGCGTGCAAGCCAAGTGACCTACCCGCTGTACTATCACTCTGGTCCCCAGGAGTAGTTCTTGAGTGCGGAGCCAGGAGGAATCTCTGAGCAGCAACAGGAGGTGTGGTCCAAAAACCAAAGAAAGAAAAGAAGAGAAAAGGAAGGGAGGGAGGGAGGGAGGGAGGAAGGAAGGAAGGAAGGAAGGAAGGAAGGAAGGAAGGAAGGGAAGGAGGGAGGAAGGAAGGAAGGAAGGAAGGGAGGGAGGGAGGGAGGGAAGGAGGGAAGGAGGGAGGAAGGAAGGAAGGAAGACAAGGGCATTACATAGCTTGTTCTTCAAGTCTGTGTTTCCCCTTGAACATGCCTCTCACCGACTTGTTTCTATGTCTCTTTGCTGTCTTTATTTCTACTTGGAGAAGTCCGCGTTCTCTCTCAAACACGCACCTCTCTCTTTCTCTCCCCTCACATCTTCCTAAATAAGTTTCAATTAAAAGAACTATCTTGCTTCACCGAGAGAGAGAGAGAGAGAGAGAGAGAGAGAGAGAGAGAGAGAGCGCCGGGTGTCCCCAGGCAAAAGGGCACAAGCCAGGCCATTCTGCATGCCCTGAATGAGATTCCGTCTGCTCCAACTGATGTCGACAGGTAGACAGGGAAGGCCCCCTCTCAAGGGAATGGCAAAAGCCAGCCCAGGAGAAAACAGAAAAAAAAAAACAACCAGGAACTAAGGCCTGATAAGACCCTCACCTGGGGCAGGAGAGATAGCACAGCGGGTCGGGCATTTGCCTTGCACGCGGCCAACCCGGGTTTGATTCCCAGCATCCCATATGGTCCCCTGAGCACCGCCAAGAGTAACTCCTGAGTGCAGAGCCAGAAGTAACCCCTGTGCAGCGACAGGTGTGACCCAAAAAGAAAAGAAAATTAAAAAAATAAAGACCCTCACCTATCTACAGAACAGACCCAGAGATGCTCCTGCAGGAACAAAAGGCCTGGGAAGAAATTTCAAAGAAGACCATTACCCCTCCCAAACTCCCTGGTAATCCTTAGCAAGGGACTTTTACCTAGGAAGAAGCCCCACGTTGGGGGCAGGTTGGAGAAACCCTATAAAGGCCACCTTGAATGAAGGAAGGGCGGCCATATGCTGCCCGAGCCCATGTGTCACCCACATCTCCCCTCTTGAGATGTGGACTTTCATGCTTTCGTGTCTAATGCTGGTATGTGTGTGTAGGGCTCTCTCCGCCCTTGGAGAAGCCCATGTTCTCTCTCTCTCTCTCTCTCTCTCTCTCTCTCTCTCTCTCTCTCTCTCTCTCTCTCTCCCGCTCCGCACCTAAAAATCCTCCCAATAAAATCTATTTGTTTCACTGCTTGTCTACTCCTGAAAATCCTTTCTGGGAGGCGAGACAAGAACCCAGTAACCCTGGGGTTCCGGGTGGCAGAGGCGGTTGGGGAGAAAGTGACCGTCTTTCTCCTCCCCGCTTCATATAAATCACCCATGGGGCCCACCGACATCATAACCATCTGAGGTAGATGTGGCCGCCTCTGGCTATCAGAGAGGAGGAACCGGAAATAATCCTTGCCACCACTCCAAGCAGAGTGGACGGTGGAGGAGGGACGGAGCGTCCCCCATCCTGCCCCCAGACCCGACTGTCAGACCAGCAACAGAGGCGGCAGTTTGCCGGAAGCAGGAGTTGAAGGGAGTGAGCTCTTCGTCCTTGGAGAGAACCAAGTAGAAAGTGAATCTTCACTCGTGGGCAGATGCATGCTAGGCTGGGCTTTAGACAGAGTCTTCTCCGGGGCAGGCCAACGGGTGTTATAAAGGGAAGGGGGGCTCCCAAGGGAGGGTGGCCAGACCTTCCTGTGCCTGAATCCACAGGGTACTGTGAGCTAAGACAAACATCAGGGACACACACGTCGCCGAGGCCCCAAGCCACATCTCCCAGCTGTGGGTGTGACACAGGGACCGCCGCTTTCTTCCCTCTCCCGTGAATATGTTTTTTCACATTTCTCCAATCAAATCCAACCTTTCCTGAAGATGCATGAGGAAGCCAGCCCCAGGAGGCCACACGGCTACACTCCAGCAAACCTCACAACTGGGGGGTTTGCTGCTGAGGGATGGACAAACAGGAACACCTCCTCCAGGCAGACCTCCTTTTGGCTTCACCAGGTCACTCCTGGGAGGTGAGTCTCCATGGTAGTCTCCAAAGGTAGGGAGAAGGCAAGACCCCCAGAGCTGAGAAGGTAGCTTCACACTGGGGCACTGAAGGAGGAGAATCCAGCCATCATGGGGCAGTGGATGAGCAGAAGAGTTGTAAAGAAATGGTGAGGGGGGGGGGGGGGAATGAATGATATACAGTTGGGTACATGAGTGAGTGATTTAGTGAGTGAGAGGGTGGGTGGCTGTTTGATTGGGTGGGTGGATGGATGGATGGATGGATGGATGGATGGATGGATGGATGAATGGGTGGATGGATGGATGGATGGGTGGGTGGATGGATGGATGGGTGGGTGGATGGATGGATGGGTGGGTGGGTGGATGGATGGATGGGTGGATGGATGGGTGGGTGGGTGGATGGGTAGATGGATGGATGGATGGATGGATGGATGGGTGGGTGGATGTGGATGAGTGGGTGGATGGATGGGTGGATGGGTGGGTGGATGGATGGATGGATGGATGGGTGGGTGGATGGGTGGGTGGGTGGATGGATGGGTGGGTGGGTGGGTGGATGGGTGGATGGGTGGGTGGGTGGATGGATGAGTGGGTGGATGGATGGATGGGTGGATGGATGGATGGATGGATGGGTGGGTGGATGGATCGGTGGATGGGTGGGTGGGTGGGTGGGTGGATGGGTGGATGGGTGGGTGGGTGGATGGATGAGTGGGTGGATGGATGGATGGGTGGATGGATGGATGGATGGGTGGGTGGATGGATGGATGGATGGATGGATAGATGGATGGGTAGATGGGTGAGTGGATGGTTGGATGGGTGGATGGATGGATGGGTGGATGGGTGAGTGGATGGTTGGATGGGTGGATGGATGGATGGGTGGATGGGTGAGTGGGTGGATGGGTGGAGGGATGGTGGATTCAGGGGTTAGGGAGGGATAAATGCAAACCACCTCCTTCGGTCAGACCTCATTCCTGCCTTGCCAGGTCGCTCTTGGAAGCGTGAAGAGCTAGTTGGGTGGCCGAGAGGCTGAAGATGGCCCCAGGCCCAGATTTCCAGCCAGCAGGCGCTCTAGAACGATCCTGACAGAAACCAGCCCTCCCAGGTGTCCAAACAGTCTGGCCTGGACAAGCGAACGCGCACAAACCCCCACCAAGCGAGGCCCCCTCCCAGGCGCCTGGCCCTGCCCGGAACAGCGCTCAGAGGGGGCCCCGCGCCCCCTCCCACCCTCGGCTCCCTCTGCCCGCGGCGCAGGGCTTGAGGCGCAGTTTGTGGGGGAGAGACGGCTGAGCCAGGGCCTCGGGGTCCTTCCCTCCGGGGAGGGGCAGCCCCACGGGGTCGACCGCGGGGCTCAGCAACACCTCCGAGGCCCCGGGGGGCGGGACAGCCCGCGGGGATGGGGGACCACAGCCCCCAGCAGGGCCTGAATTGGGGTCCCGGGCCCCCGGGCCCGTCCAGGACCTGGCAGCTGAAGAAAGTCGCGGGGAGGGCCACGTCCAGCCTCCCGGGGGCGCGCAGGGGGGGCGGTGGCGGGGGGAGGCCAGGCCTGCCCATCTGTGTGCCAGCAGGCAGCTGCAGCAGCCCGGAACGCCGGCCTCCAGCGGGCACGCCGCCGCCCGCCAGAGGCAGCCCTGGGAGGCGGCGGGCAGCGGGGCCAGGGGCTCGGCGCCCCCCGCGCCGGGCTCCGCGGGCCAGGGCGGGTCCCAGAGGCGCGCCTGCAGCGGCCGCGCGCGCGCGCCCCCGCCGTGCGCCCCGAGCCCCGCGCGCGGGCGCAGGGCGCGCAGCTCGGCCCGCAGCGCCTCGTTCTCCCGCAGCAGCGCGGCCAGGCGGCCCTCGAGCGCCGCGTCCTGCAGCCGCCGCTTCTCCCGCGAGCGCTTGGCCGCCTCGTTGTTCTTGCGCCGCTTCTCCCAGTACTGCGAGTCCTTCTGGTCGTCGGGCGTGAACTCGCGCTGCCGCCGCGCCTGTGCGCCCCGCGCGCCCCCCTGGGGCAGGGCCACCCCGCCGTCCATGCGCGCCTGCGAGACAGGGGGGTGGGGGGTCGGGGGGAGGGTCGGCAGGGCAGCCCGGAGCCGGGGCCCGAGAAAAGGACAGGACGGCGGGGAGGGCGTGGTGGCCTTGCGCGTGGCCGACCCGGGTTCCATCCCCAGCATCCCAGAGGGTCCCCCCGCGCACCGCCAGGAGTGATTCCTGAGTGCGGAGCGCAGAGCCAGGAGGAACCCCCGAGCATCGCTGGGTGTGACCCCCTCCCCCCCAATAAAAGAAAAAGGACAGGACAGCGGGGAGGGCGTGGTGGCCTTGCACGTGGCCGACCCGGGTTCGATTCCCAGCATCCCATAGGCATCCCACCGGGAGTCCCTCAAACCCCGCCAGGAGGACCAGAGCGATAGCACGGTGGAGAGGGCGTTTGCCTCGCACGCATCCCACCCGGGTTCCATCTCCGGCTTCCCAGAGGGTCCCCCCGCGCACCGCCAGGAGTGATTCCTGAGTGCGGAGCGCAGAGCCAGGAGGAACCCCCGAGCATCGCTGGGTGTGACCCCCTCCCCCCCATAAAAGAAAAAGGACAGGACAGCGGGGAGGGCGTGGTGGCCTTGCACGTGGCCGACCCGGGTTCCATCCCCAGCATCCCATGGGCATCCCACCGGGAGTCCCCCTAACCCCGCCAGGAGGACCAGAGCGATAGCACGGTGGAGAGGGCGTTTGCCTCGCACGCATCCCACCCGGGTTCCATCTCCGGCTTCCCAGAGGGTCCCCCCGCGCACCGCCAGGAGTGATTCCCGAGTGCGGAGCGCAGAGCCAGGAGGAACCCCCGAGCATCGCTGGGTGTGACCCCCTCCCCCCCATAAAAGAAAAAGGACAGGACAGCGGGGAGGGCGTGGTGGCCTTGCACGTGGCCGACCCGGGTTCCATCCCCAGCATCCCATAGGCATCCCACCGGGAGTCCCTCAAACCCCGCCAGGAGGACCGGAGCGATAGCACGGTGGAGAGGGCGTTTGCCTTGCACGCATCCCACCCGGGTTCCATCTCCGGCTTCCCAGAGGGTCCCTCGAGCACCGCCAGGAGTGATTCCCGAGTGCGGAGCGCAGAGCCAGGAGGAGCCCCCGAGCATCGCTGGGTGTGACCCCCTCCCCCCCATAAAAGAAAAAGGACAGGACAGCGGGGAGGGCGTGGTGGCCTTGCACGTGGCCGACCCGGGTTCCATCCCCAGCATCCCATAGGCATCCCACCGGGAGTCCCTCAAACCCCGCCAGGAGGACCAGAGCGATAGCACGGTGGAGAGGGCGTTTGCCTCGCACGCATCCCACCCGGGTTCCATCTCCGGCTTCCCAGAGGGTCCCCCCGCGCACCGCCAGGAGTGATTCCCGAGTGCGGAGCGCAGAGCCAGGAGGAACCCCCGAGCATCGCTGGGTGTGACCCCCTCCCCCCCAATAAAAGAAAAAGGACAGGACAGCGGGGAGGGCGTGGTGGCCTTGCACGTGGCCGACCCGGGTTCCATCCCCAGCATCCCAGAGGGTCCCCCCGCGCACCGTCAGGAGTGATTCCCGAGTGCGGAGCGCAGAGCCAGGAGGAACCCCCGAGCATCGCTGGGTGTGACCGCCCCCCCCCAATAGAAGAAAAAGGACAGGACAGCGGGGAGGGCGTGGTGGCCTTGCACGTGGCCGACCCGGGTTCCATCCCCAGCATCCCATAGGCATCCCACCGGGAGTCCCTCAAACCTCGCCAGGAGGACCAGAGCGATAGCACGTTGGAGAGGGCGTTTGCCTCGCACGCATCCCACCCGGGTTCCATCTCCGGCTTCCCAGAGGGTCCCCCAAGCACCGCCAGGAGTGATTCCCGAGTGCGGAGTGCAGAGCCAGGAGGAACCCCTGAGCATCGGTGGGTGTGACCCCCTCCCCCCCAATAAAAGAAAAAGGACAGGACAGCGGGGAGGGCGTGGTGGCCTTGCACGTGGCCGACCCGGGTTCCATCCCCAGCATCCCAGAGGGTCCCCCCGCGCACCGCCAGGAGTGATTCCTGAGTGCGGAGCGCAGAGCCAGGAGGAACCCCCGAGCATCGCTGGGTGTGACCCCCTCCCCCCCAATAAAAGAAAAAGGACAGGACAGCGGGGAGGGCGTTTGCCTGGCCCGGGTTCCATCCCCCAGCATCCCACCGGGAGTCCCTCCAACCTCGCCAGGAGGACCGGAGCGATAGCACGGTGGAGAGGGCGTTTGCCTTGCATGCATCCCACCCAGGTTCGATCTCCGGCTTCCCAGAGGGTCCCCTGAGCACCGCCAGGAGTCATTCCTGAGTGCTGAGCCAGGAGTATCCCCTGTGCATCACCGGGTGTGACCCAAAAAGCCAAAAAAATAAAAGAACCACCAGGAGTGTTGAGCACAGAATCACGGGTCACCCCTGAGCATTGCCGGGATTGGACCAAAAACAAACAAGGGGGGGGGAGAAAGAACCCCCAGGGGAAAAACAGGTGCAGGCAGAGCGCTGAAGGGGTGGGCAGGGCCGAAAGGAAGGTAGGAGGATGCTGGAGAGTGGACATGGAGACCCCCGCTGGAAGCAGGGTGTAGCATCGTGGAGAACCGCGGGGAAGTGAGGAGGGTGTTTGCCTTGCACGCGGCCGACCCCGGTTCAATGCCCGGCACCCCATAGGGTCCCTCAAGCCCCACCAGGAGTGATTCCTGAGTGCAGAGCCAGGAGTCCCCACTGAGTGTTGCTGGGTGCGGCCCCAAACCCACCAAAGTTGGGGTCTGGGTGGGTGCAGGCACAGTGCTGAGCGGAGCAGGGCAGAAAGGAAGCCAGCAGGAAGCTTAATGGGGACCCCCACCTTAAGCGGGTTCTAGCATCATCCTGGAGAGCCCTGGGGACAGCGGGGAGGGCGCCTGCTTGGCACTCATCTGGTTCGATCCCCGGCACCCTATAGGGTCCCCGATCCCCGTCAGGAGCGATCCCTGAGCACAGAGCCAGGAGTCAGCCCTGAGCCCCCCCACACAAATATGGTAGCAACAGGCTCCAGCAACCCACGGGGTTTTGCTTTGCATACATCTGACCAGGGTTCAAACCCAGCACCCATAGGGTCTCTCAAGCCCTGCCAGTCACCCATGAGCCCCAAACAAATATCACTGAGGGGCTGGAGTGATAGCACAGTGGGAAGGACGTTTGCCTTGCATGCAGCCAACCCAAGTTCGATTCCCAGCATCCCATAGGGTCCCCTGAGCACCGCCAGGTGCTCATAATTCCTGAGTGCAGAGCCAGGAGTAAACCCTGTGCATCGCCAGGTGTGACCCAAAAAGAAAATAAATAAATAAATAAATAACATTGTGTTTAAAAAATATATATCACTGAGAGTTCACAATTGCACTGAATTATCAGGGGAATTGAGGCTTTTTTTTTCTTCTTTTGCTAAAGGCATCATTTTTGGATTTTTGTTTGGGGAGAGGGGATGGACACGGTTTGGTTTGATGAGGTCACACCCAGTGGTGCTCAGGGCTTCCTCCTAGTTTCACACTCAGGGATCACCCCCTGGAGGTGACGGGGGGATCGAACCCAAGTCGGCCAGATGCAAGGGAAGTGTCTGAGCCGCTGAGCTGGATCTCGGACCCGGCCCCACGCAGGGGGGTGCTTACCTCAGAGACAGTCAGCCAAGGGCTCGGGTCAGGATGAGGTCCAGGATAAGGCACGGAGGGACCCAGCGAGAGAAGGAAGCAGGAAGCCTAGGAAGACAGAAGGTGCCCCGGGAATTCAACTCCCCCAACTTGCCGGAGTGACAGTCCAGCAGGGAAAGTGCTAACTTTGCACACAGTTAATCGGGGTTCCATCCCCGGCACCCCACAGGGTTCCCCGAGTCTTTGATCCCTGGAGTCAACCCTGAGCACAGAGCCAGGAGTCAGCTCTGAGCACAGAGCCAGGAATCAACCCTGAACATCGCCAGTTGTGACCCAAAAACAAAGAGAAACCACCCCCCCCCCCAAAAAAAAACACAAGCTGACCTGCAAATAAGTCCAGAGTCAATCTTGAGCTGAATTCAGACAGAACCTCAAGATTGCCCCCTCTGTTTTGTAAGTGTGGCCCCACCCACCCATCCGTGGACCCATCCGTGGACCCATCCATCAACGCGCCCATCCACTTATTCAATCGTCCATCTGTCTGTCCACTATCTACCTGGCACCCCCAGCCCTACATGGACGCATTCACACACCGTCATTTATTTTTGAGAGGGGAGACACACCCGAGATACTCAGGGCTGACTCCTGGCTCTGCGCTCGGGAATCACTCCTGGCAGTGCTTGGGGGACCCTATGGGGTGCTGGGGATCGAACCCGGGTCGGCCGTGTGCAAGGCCAACGCCCTCCCACTGTGCTGTCCTATCCTTCCGGCCCTGTGTGCACCGTTTTATTAAACCTTCCGTCCACTCAAGCCTCCATCCAACCTACGGACCCACAGTTAGACAGTTATCTGGCCTCTCACCCTGCAGTGTCCCCACCAAGCTCTGGAAGAGGAGTTTCTGCACAATAACTGCTGACAACGAAGGAAGGGGGTGTGGGCGAGAGTTTAATGGGGAGGGCGCTTGCCTTGCACCTAGAAGACCGGGGTTCAATCTCCCCAAGCCCGCTGAGAGGGATCCCTGAGTGCAGAGCCAGGAGTGAGCCCTGAACATCCCTGGGTGTGCCCCTCCCCCCGACCCCCCCAAAAAAAGAAGGAGGGGCTGGAGCCATAGCACAGCGGGGAGGGTGTTTGACTCACACATAGCCAACCTGGGTTCAATCCCCGGCATCCCATAGGGTCCCCCTGAGCACCGCCAGGAGTCATTCCTGAGTGCAGAGTCAGGAGTCAGCCCTGAGCATCGCTGGGTGTGTCACAAAAATGAAACAAAAAAAAAAAAAAAAAAGAAGGAGCTGGAGTGATAGCACAGCGGGTAGGGCGTTTGCCTTGCATGCGGCCGACCCGGGTTCGATTCCCAGCATCCCATAGGGTCCCCCTGAGCACCGCCAGGAGTCATTCCTGAGTGCAGAGCCAGGAGTAAC